ACCTACCGCTGGTGGTCATGTCATCGAGGATGCATGATGTGAACGGAATGTTCTGTAGTACCTGGTCCATTGCTCTTTGCCAAATGGCGGGGGCCGATGCCACCCCAAATGGTAGGCGGTTATACCTAAATAACCCTTTATGAGTGTTAATAGTTAGAAGCTCCTTGGACGCATCATCTACTTCCATCTGTAGATATGCCTGTTTGAGGTGGATCTTTGTAAATTTCTGACCACCCGACAGGGATGCAAAAATGTCCTCAATTCTTGGTAAGGGGTACTGTTCCACTTTCATAACAGGATTAATTGTGGCCTTATAATCACCGCAAATTCGCACTTGACCAGATTTCTTCTGTACTGGTACAATTGGTGATGCCCAATCACTGTGTTTCACAGAGCTTATAATTCCCTCCTTCTGTAGTCGGTCTAGCTCTTTCTCCACCTTGTCTCTCATTGCATATGGGACATTCCTTGGCTTGTGAAATTTTGGTTGACAATTTTCGGTGATGTAAATACTAGCCTTTAGCTTTTCCAGTTTGCCTAATTCATCCTTAAAAATGGATTTGTGTTTGTCCAGAATTTCATCCAGACCACTGGTCTTTGTCTCTTGTAGGACCTTAATTTCTTGCCAGTTCAATGGGAAATTCTTTAGCCAATCTCGGCCAAACAATGCAGGGCCATCTTGTGGCACAACCAGCAATTCGGCATTTCCTTTATGGTTGTTAACACACACCGGTACAGTCAGCATGCCAAGGGGTATGATCTTCTCACCAGAATACGTTTTCAAACGAATCGTGGTTTGTTGTAATGGTGGCATAGAGTTAAATATTTTCTTGTAGGTCGTTTCTGGTATGAGAGAAACTGATGAGCCTGTATCCAGCTCCATCGGGATTAACTTTCCATTTACGGTAGCATTCACTATAATCGGACTACCCTTTGTCTTGTGATTAACGTGGAACATTGGTTCATAATCATCTTCCTCTTGGACATATTGTACTTTTTCTTGTTAGTAGTAGTGGCAGATTTAGATGACATTTCTCTCTTCTTTTTCATACACACTTTTTCAAGATGTCCTTCTTTTGCACAGTAATTACATACTGTCTTAGCATGGTGACAGCGGTCCGCCTTATGCGATGTACTAACGCATCTGTAACAACAGGCTGACTTAGTCTGTTTCTGTCCTTGAAATTTCTTTATTTGTTTATTTGTTTTGGTAAAAAGTTTATTCACATTACCTTCACTCTTCTGTGCTCGCGTTTGCTGCAACTCGGTAGCATCACGTCCTGCTGTTTCCATAGCAACCGCAATTTTAATCGCATCATCTAATGTAAGATCATGAACAGCCAACAAAAGTTTCTGTATGTTCTCTTGGCGTAACCCACAGACGAAAATGTCTCTAAGCGTTGTAGTAAGTGTAGTGCCAAAATTACAATGTATTGCTAATCTACGTAGTTCAGCAATGTATGCAGCAACACTTTCCCCAACATGCTGTCCTCGTTTGTAAAAACGAAATCGTTCACCGATTTCTGATAGTTTTGGGCACAAGTGTGTTGTGAGCTTCGTAATAAGCTCATCGTAGCTCAGTGCGGCAGGCTTCGCCGGCGCGCACAGATTCTTCAGTAGCTGTCTCTTATACACATCTAGATGTGTATAAGAGACAGGTGCTTAGTTGATCCTGTAGAGAATGGTTTTGATGATCTCCTTTCGCCTGTTTCATGGCTGTTTTAAATGTTTGCACAAATCTTTCCGCCAATCCATTGGTGCGCGGGTGGTAGGGTGCTGAAGTACCCTATCATCCTATATCCATAATATTCCGTTTTGCTTCATAAAAATTTGGAATTCCTATTACGATGTATTGCTAATCTACGTAGTTCAGCAATGTATGCAGCAACACTTTCCCCAACATGCTGTCCTCGTTTGTAAAAACGAAATCGTTCACCGATTTCTGATAGTTTTGGGCACAAGTGTGTTGTGAGCTTCGTAATAAGCTCATCGTAGCTCAGTGCGGCAGGCTTCGCCGGCGCGCACAGATTCTTCAGTAGTGTGTACGTCTTAGGCCCGATGAGTGCAAGCAGTGAAGGTACTTTCCTTTCAGCGTCTACCTGGTTGGCAAGGAAATATTGCTCGATTCTTTCTGCATAAGAATCCCAAGCTTCGACTGTATGGTCAAATTCTTCTACTTTTCCAATTGTAAAGGCCATGCTCATCCTCGTCGCCAATATGTTATGTCTTGATAACAAATGCAAATGTAAAAATATGTAGGTTCAGAACACGGCGTGTAAACTATCAAACTCCATTTTATTCAAGAACAACAACAAGTAGTATGGAGCGCCGTAAGCGCAGTAATCTGGGACTATGCATATATAACATTCACTATGTGGTCACCATTTTCTAAGCTCTAAACCGCAACTTATTCCGACCGATAATCGCTAAATTTAGACATTATTAGTGAATGATATTAGGCCGTCTCATAGACCCAAGGTATGTTTCATGTTATTATACTGATAGGGTACCTACAGTAACTAGTTAACCCCTCAACATCAACCCAGTATTTCAATGCCTCTTTTTCTGGTCTTTAGCATGTTTATATCTAATGTACTAGCACCTAACTTTAATAGAGCCCTTAAAGACAGTCTACCAATCAAAGTTGGCTTCTCTTCAAAGACTAGTGTAGTCTTTTTCTGTACTGTACTGTAGGCCTGCAAAGAGTATTCATGTTCATATTTTGAATTATGAACAGAAGTTTTATTTTGTTGTATTAGAACTGTTCCAAAATTGTTGAACAAATGAATAATGCAGAATTACCAAATTACAGTATCATAATTTGGAAATACAGTTATTATATTTTATTGAGATTGCTTATGATCATGACAACTGTAGGAAGCAACATGCTGGATAAATGGAATATAATACATATTTTATGGAACTTATCAATGCTCTGTCTTAGAAATCTAGTTTATTCCAGTCTAGAAATTAAGTTTAGTAACCAGAAATGAACTAAATATGATGTATTTGCTTTGCAGTTCCTTGCTGAATTTCAAAGAATAAATGGTGAAAATGGTGCTGTAGAGCTATTAAAAGCTGGCATAAACAAGTACGGATATGCCTTAATGTCATTGTACAACCAGAGCCTTGCAGGCGTCAACGTTCCTATGCATGATACACGACTTTTAGAAGTATATATACGTGTGTATATATATATATATATACGTATATATACATATATGTATATATATACGTATATATATACATACATATATATATATTTATATATATACATATATATATATACATATTTATATATATACACATATATATTGATATATATTTATACATATATGTATATATACATATGTATATATATATGTTTATGTGTGTATATATACTTATATATAAGTGTACATTATATATAAGTATATAAGTGTATATATAAGTATATATATAGGGCTATATAAGTATATATGTAAGTATGTGTATATATGTATATATATAAGTATGTATATATAAATATATATACGTATATATAAGTATGTATATGTATATATATATAAGTATGTATATATATAATATATAAG